CCCCCCCCCCCCCATAATACGCTCACTTGGGGACGGATTACTCCAGTTGTTCCACTCTCGTTTATCATTATCTAGAGCTTCCCGATCCAAGGTTTCTATGCTCCCACCAGGGTGGGCTACAACCCAACTATACTTTTAAAGAATATTTAACGTTTGTTATTCATGTTCGTGATGTGTCATCACGTATGAATGTTTGATATTTAAGTTATCAATATAACATGTTTTGTGAATAAGTTCAATTTTTTAAAATAACCCGATATCTCAATCTAACCTAAATATAAAAGGTAACCGAAGAAAAAGAGAGGAGAAAAAGAATTTATAGAAATTTAATATTTTATTTCACTTAAAAAAAACTATTTAAAAACATACATATTTCGAAAAGAGTACGATATTTATATTGGTATTTGGATCCCGTCTTTGGCTTTCTAACATCAAACGAGCATAATATAAACGGTTCGAGTGTAATCGAGCTCATACGAGCATAATATAAATAAATAAATAAATAAATAATTTTCTACCCACATCATATATAAAAATTCATAATTTAATATTACAGTTTAAAATATTATTATTTGAAAATATATTTATATTTGTATATGTTTTTTGTTGGGCTAATGTGATTATTCCATTAAAACTATGACTATATTGGTCCATGCCCAAACCACCTTTCGAAAGCCCAATTATTACAACCCCACATTATACATAATTAATATACTTTAATTACAAGTTTAATATTTAAACTTTTAATTTTTAATTCGAATGTTTTTAAATTTTTTATTAGATATAAATATAATTTTTTAATTTAGTAAAATTCAATAACACATCATATATAAAATTAAAAATTTATAAATTTATTGAACTCATAATAAAAAATAAAAAGTTAAAAGTATTATTTTAATACTAACGATTTGATTTAAAATTTTATTAATTACTCCGAAATATATTAATTAAATACGCAACACAAAAGATTTGACCCACGTTTTTATTTTATCTCTATAAGAATATTAATTTATTTTATTTATTAAGAAGCTTCCTAATTATGCCATCCATTTACCTTTTTATCCACTCATTTCTATTTTCTTTCCTAATCACTTTTGGCCCAACTTTTATATCCAAACTCAAAAGAATATTTATAACGCTTTTCGGTCACTTTTTTATTTCTCGAAAATGGAATTTTCATATTTCACGTTTAAATTTTTGTACTTTTTTTCTTTTTATTTTTATTTTGACTTAAATTTGTGGATTCCGAGCTTGACTAAATGTTGATCAGTTCGTGCTGAAAGAGAAAGATTTAATCTTGTGGGCTTGATATGATACGGTTCGATTCCCTTTTAAAAAGGCATTAGATAAGTTTCCATACGAAACTCGACTGAAATTCTATTCTAACCTCTAACTTACAAGCTCGAAATGTAAGAGGTACCTAAAGAAACGGAAACGGAAACTCACCACTCGCTGGTGAAAGAGGAGAAAAGATAATTGAAAGCCCGAGGGCTGAAATGCAAAATATCTTTGTTCGAGTAGCTTATCATGAATTTTCGATAATAGTTCACAAATCCTAAAAAGAATCTTAGTTAGTCTTTGAAAAAAATGAGTAGTAACGACCCAAATTCACCACTAGCAGACATTATCCTTTTTTGGTTTGACTTTTCCTCAAATGATTAAAACACAAGATTTTCACACTCTTATAAATAGTGTTTTGTTCTCCTTCCAACCAATATGGAACATCAGATAAGAACTTTATTATATAAATTTTTAAAACATTCTTAACTTTTTTAAATGGATATTATTTTTATTTTATTATTTAGAAATGAACAGTAGATTTGAGACAATATAGTGTTAGATAAAAATAATAATACAATAAAGAATTTTAAAAATTTAAAGATTAAAATAAAATAAACGTTGACTAAAAAGTTGAATTTTTATTTTTATTTTTAAATAAGTAAATACGACGGCAATATGGAAATGTTTTAAATATTTTAATAAAAAAAAATTGCAAGGGTTTCTAAGATAATAATATTATTATAATTTTGGGTCAAAAAATAATAATAATAACGTGTTAAATTTTCAAATATTTGAAAAACTTCCCTCGTTTCATGAAAATCCAATATATTGACCAATCCCCATAAGTCAAATATTTATTTAATTACTAAATTATATATATTTCAAGTTATAAATTTTAGACCAATAATTATTTTTTTTTATAAATTATTTTAATAAAATGTCCATAATTATATTAAAAAATTAATACATTTTTGTGTTTCTAAAGTTTCTAATAAAAATTCAAAATGGTGAAAATTGAGTTGGGTTGAATTTTTTAAAAATTTAAAATTTGGATCGATTCGAGAGTTGACCTTTTTTTGCTAGGTCAACTCGATCACCAAATCCAACTCATGCAGGTCCATAAATACTACTC